AAAAAAAAAGAGGGAATAATGTAGCGTGGGGTTCCTGTGGAACACGTCCCCGGGAATTGTGGGTGGGGTTTATCCATGTGTTTGGGACGCAGAGCAGAGTCAGTCGAGCGTCAGGGTGGAGCCATCGTGTTTGAGGCAGACTGGAGAAATAGGCACAAGAACAAGTACCCGAAATCAGGTTACAATATCCTTACAAGGTTACAAGGAATAAAAGTGTAGTCTACAGGTGTGTTGTAGGTTGGTGTGTGTTAGGTGGGTGTATTGTAGGTGGGTGTGTTGTAGGTGGTTGTGCTGTAGGTGGGTGTGTTGTAGTTGGGTGTGTTGTAGGTTGGTGCATTGTAAGTGGATGTGTTGTAGTTGGGTGTGTTGTAGGTGGTTGTGATGTAGGTTGGTGTGTTGTAGGTGGGTGTATTGTAGGTTGGTGTATTGTAGGTGGTTGTGTTGTAGGTTGGTGTGTTGTAGGTTGGTGCATTGTAAGTGGGTGTGTTGTAAGTGGATGTGTTGTAGGTGGGTGCGCTAGCTATCTAGGTTGGTAAGGAACTGCGCAATACTTATCAGGAGGGGAGGGGGGTTGAGAAATGAGGAGCCAGAAAATCAAAAAAGTTAACTACTACCCCTCCTCCCCGTAAAAGAAATTGGATAAGTGACTGTTGATAGCCTGGGAACTAGTTCGAGTGAACGCATTTTCCGTGAAATTGTAAACAAATAACCCCCCTATCCACCCCTCACGAAACCCATGATAATAAACCCCTGAGTGCCCCTGGTAAAAGTGCTGTGAGGGTTTGTAATGCACATAGGTTGTACCTTTCTTCGCATTCATCCAATGCATCTTTAATCTTTTGGATGTGATTCTTGTCAAAAACATCGTGTACAACAACAAACCCATCTCTCTCGTACTGCAATATCCAATAAAAAGAACCCCAGTTGCATTTAAAGACAGTTCTAAAAATTCCACTTCCTTGGCCCTGTAGTGTATTAGGTAACAACCTATTGGGYTACCTGTGTCTTTGTAGCGTGCGATTAAAGTACGAGTATTCTATCTAATCCGAGGGTAAATTAATACTACAGGCCCCTATAATTTTTGTCTGCCTGGAAGTAAGCTTATAAATTTTACAGCCGCATAAAACATCTGCTTCACGAAACAATTGAATCACAATAGAGACGAAGTATCTGATGATCTTACATGTAATACTCCGTTTTAGCGATGAGGAGGAAAAGAATCGGTTGGGTCAGTTTTTATGTCAGCATGCTGGTGAGAACTTTGTACGAGATATCAATAARATAGTACCTGTTCTTTCTGTTGATCCGTCAAAGAGACACCAACAGTAGACTTCAAACGCCTAGTAACACCCCTAAGCGTCTTTCTTATTATGCCAGGAGCCCTATGGACGATACTTTGTTGTCCGAGCCAGAACTTGTAAAGCCTTAAACTGCCTTGCAACAGCGACATATCTGCATTGGACCGGAACTGAGTCACTCAYAACACACAGCAAAAGCGTGACATTGGGATACCGTGACAATGTCACGGGATGAACACAAAACAYTATTATTCGTATCCTGGCTGTTTCTTGGTGTTGCAAGAAACACTGTCCCAGYGTTTGTTGTAGAAGTAGATACATTATATCATGTATACCATGCAAAGAATCAAGGAAAGCAATAAACCCCTGCACTTTGTGATATAGAATCATAATAACTTATTCAGCCAGAGAAAATTTGTCTAGGAGGAAAAATACAATCAAAGAATAGTGAGTTTGGTGCCTTGCAACACCAAGAAACAGCCCGTATCGTAATCATTTTCCACATGATGCCGCGATTCTCTATGCGACTGCAAAAACTGTTTTTTTTGTTGGGTCACTACCTGACGTACAGCTGTTCAAACGTACTGCTGTTGTATTTTTCGTTTTATTAATTATTTTCTGTTTCATGAGTGCAAATATTTGTATTAAAARCAAGACTTACAATATGAAGTTTATATTATTTTTTTGATTATATTGATAACGTATACACTGTTCTTTTAACTATAATCTTTTTATTTGATTTGATAGTTTATTTGTTGTTATTTTTGTTGTCGTTGTGTGACAAAGTTATCAAACACAGGAAGCCCAAACTTGACAGGTTTGTAAACATGGCGGATATGCCAACATTTGAAGTTAAAGAAGCTTGTCTTGTATTTGTACTGCTTTACTTCCAAGGCTAACGATGCTGCCGTTCAGAAATATTATATACATTGTTTTGGTTGCTTTTGCCGTTTCTACCGTAGCTATCGCATTTGCTATCTTATCGAAGCATAAAAACTCGACGACATCTCTRCTGAACACGAAGGTCGAAGTTGACACTACAAGACCTGTTCRRAAAGTCAGCACCAAGTTTTTATCTGTTTCTTTTGATAATAGACTACTACAGCAACACTGGGTTAACTTTAATTTCTCTTCTGCGAGGATATACCGGCTTGCACAGRGTCTAGCTCCTGCGTATCTTCGAATTGGTGGAACAACAGAAGATTGGTTGATTTATCAAAATGAATCTAAGCCTGATAACGTCTATCCAACTTCTTCGTCTGTTCCACATTTCCAGAGAGATAATTTTACAGAATATAACATAACAAACGATGATTTAGATAAGATTCACCTGATTGCCAGTAAAGCTGGATGGAAAGTGCTGTTTGGTCTCAATGTGTGTCTGAGAACTCGAGGTGGAACCTGGAATTTCTCTAATCCCCTACAGATCATGCAGTATGTGGCCAGCAAAGAATACGACTTTGGCTGGGAACTGGGAAATGGTAATGTATTAATCTACTTCATGTAGATCGAATGTGGTGTATCAGGAAAGGAGGAAATTTTTTAATAATTTTTCATATTTCATCTCATCCTTGTTTCCATACATCCATGCATTTTTTTTTCTCTCCATCCAATTTTTTTTTGTCATCTTTTCTTTCTTCTTTTATTCAGTCAAGCCTTTATTCAATCGTTATCCATCTGTTTGTTCAACCATTCTTTCATTCATTATTTTCTATCCTGCCTTGACTTTCATTCATTCAACCATCCACTTYCATCCATCTATTTATTCATTATTCAGAACCAGACCTTCTCGGCCGATGGGGAAAAGCCATTCAGCCCAAGATTCTTGGTCAAGATTTTGTTACCTTGAGAAATATTCTAAATAGAAACCCTGAGTATGGTAAATTCATGGTTGGACCTGATCTAACTCGACCAAAGAATAAATCAATGGACTTCTTAAAGGAGTATGGTTTGTTGTCTGATGTAGGAGATTCTATAACTCTGTCATGTTTCMCTTTCTTATCCTTTTCCTCCTTAAATGTCTTTCCTCCACTCTTCACTTCTTTCTTTCATCAATTTGACCTCCCAGGAGAGTTCTTTGCTGTGTTCTTACTGTAATGGCATGTTGTGAATGTTCTAGATTCTTGTCTGTAGCAGTTGATGCAGTTGATAGAATAACATGGCATCAGTAAGTCCCTTTAAATTCTCTTATTTAGCTCCATTAGACTGTGTAGTGAGCCCAGGGGAGGGAGGAAGCGGGAAGTGGAAGGGGAGGGTCGGGGGAAGAGGGGAAAAACCAGAGCTCGAGAATTTAATGATTCTACCAGACCTTTTCAGACAGCATAGATGTTATACGCAATTCCACTGGAAAATTACTGAGAAACTCTCTGTAAAATACACCATTTGTTCTAAATTGACTGTTATAGCTGGCAGAAGTACATAACCAGAATCTGGTTATGTACTTAGCTGTAGCTGGTCATTTCCGAAAACAAAATCAATGTCTGGTTAAAGTTTGGTATCTGTATTTATTTTCCAGATACTATTTTAACTCCAGRACTTGTAAATTACAAGATTTCTACGATCCCCAGATACTTGACTACTTGTTGCACCAGTTACAACTACTTAACGCTGTGCTTTCAAAAAYTGCACCTGACAAGCGTCATTGGTTGGGAGAAACTGCAACAGCCTGGGGAGGTGGTGCTTATGGCATGTCCAACAAATATGTCGCTACGTTTACGTAAGTGTACGTACGGTAACGTAAGTGTACGTACGTTAATCGTAAGTTAACTGTAGCATCAAGGGCGATCTTCCTGTCATATCTGGTAAATCGGTCACGAGAAAAACAGTGGATTTCTACGCCAACCACGTTTTGCCCTGAGAYCTCCTTTCAATCCTGTTTCCACCCCCTTTAAATTCTCGGTATATCAATCAATTTGAATAAATTATTGTATTATTTCTTGATATTGGAACTGTAGTAATATCCGTGAACTCTAGACTACGAAAGTTTACACGCCCAATCCCGTATATAGTATATGTATTTTATTATCGATGATTGTTTTAAATTGTTATTCAATATCTAGATGGATGGATAAGCTTGGCCTTGCAGCACGACTTGGAGCAGAGATTGTTGTAAAACAGACATTTTTCCATGGGAATTATGCCCTAATTGATGACGATTTGAACCCCACTCCCGTAAGTATTGAGCTTATAAAAGCTGGATTTGTCAGGTTTATATTTGGACGAACATCACTTGATGCCATCCAAGAAAACAAACATTAGAGTTAATAAAGAAAAACGGTTATCACGTGATTAGTTTTGAAGTCTTGTTGTTATTAAATGAATGGAAAAAATCTCTACTTTGCGTAGCACGGGCAGCAATGCCTTTACAAAATAATGTAATGCAGTTGGTTTTGAAATGAAAGTCATCTTTTAAGAGAATAAAACAAATAGAAATATAAAATTTCTTCAATTTGGATTGTCAATAGAACTACTGGCTGTCACTTCTTCAYAAACGTCTTGTTGGGCAGACAGTGTTGGATGTTAAGGATGGTTTACAAGAGGGAAGGGTAGTCAGAGTGTATGCTCACTGTACGGACACTAGGACTGGGTACGATTCATTTAATGTGCACCCTTTAATAGTCTCCTTCACGGTTACCTGCGCCATGTTGAAAGATAGCCGTGCCTTTGCATCGAAGCGAGACGACCGTTGAGCGTGCAATGATAGAAACCTTCTTTCACTCCTGCAGACAACTATTCACAGGTTTCTATGATTGCACGCTCAACGGTTGTCTCGCTTCGATGTAATGGCACGGCTACCTTTCAACATGGCACAGGTAACCATGAAGGAGACTTTGTCGAGAGTTTTGATTAGTATTGTTTGTATGACCTAGGGATAAACAAGTTGTACTCCGACTGTATGTGGGAGTTTGCCTGTATACATTGTAATTACACTATTTCGAAGTTTAAATCTTRATTCTTAAAAGTTCATAGACTTAAYCGTTCATTACTTCACCATTATGTACYKCAGACAGTACAGTAAAGGCGCTGTKACCGTTATGATTATCAACCTCAGTYCATCCCAGGATGCAGTGGTGTCGTTGACAGGCACATTGGGTACTCGTCATGTTGACCAATACCTGCTAACAGCAGATGGAGCCTTGACGTCACAGTAAGCTGTCAATCATTGTTCTTTTTAAAGTACAATGATTATCAATTATAATGATTAAAATAAGTATTGCTAAGTATTTTATAGTTAACTTCAGGTCAATGTTCAAAGTCATTGTTAGATGATGACAAGGCACTTTATTTAATGGTATTGGATGTATTAAATGGTTTATCAAACATGTTGAACAAAGGATGACAGCGTTTGACAGCTCAAAAGAAAACTGTGTTTGACTATTCAAAAATATCACCCACTCCCCTCTTATGCGAACAGGTCTACTTTACTCATTCTGTGCAATGTTTTTCTTCGCTATCGGCGGAGAGCTGAGAGAGAAATGGGTCTACTCAGTGTTTGAAGATGTGACAAACGGTTTTCGCTTGATTTTGACTTTAGACGATTCTTATTGGTGCAGCTGTAATGGCAAATGATGATAATCTGGGCCGGGTTGTTTAAAGCTCGATTAGTGTCAACCCAGGGTTAACTCTATAGGTTTTCTAAGAGTTAACCCAAGATTAGCTTTGAACAACCCGGCCCTGCATGAGTCAATRTCCTCGGTAAGATAATTATGTATGTTTTTTTTTTCAGGTTTGTCTTACTAAATGGCGTACGACTAGCCATGCCTGATGACCACACATTGCCAGCAATRCAGCCTGTTACCATAGATACAGGACATCATTTACATATTCCTTCATTAGCTCTTGGTTTCTTTGTTGTACCTCAGGCTCAAGCAGACGCATGTTTGACTGGAAATAATTCTAATAAAAGTATATAAAAGATTCTGATTTTGTCTTACAAAACCGGCTTTAGTTGATGCTATGACTGTTTTCTATCGCTTCTCAATCTTGTTGGGAAAGAAATAAGAGGTCCTTGAAACTAGGGCATTTTCGCCTTTCCTTTGATCCACTTTCCTTCTCTTCAGTCGACCATTCTCTAACTTCCTTTAGCTTTAATCCAAGCAGTATTGCGTGCACTGAGTATCATGTGTCAATAAGTGACAAGGTGAACTTTCATCGACGACGAGACAGTAAACATGGCCGCGACCTGCAGAAACACGAACGACAGCATCTTCAAATAATCATTACGCCAAAATACATAAAATTGTTTCATGTTACGTCAGAAAATCGTTATAATTGAGAGATTAGATATCCTAGATCTAGAATTTCAAGTTATTTACAGCATCTCATGGATTATTAATGAGTATTAGTGGAAATTAGCAYAACCATAATTCATTTCGCACCATTCTTTTACATTGACTCCATCAAACGTTCTGTCAAAGGCCGTAAACCTGTAGATCAACACTGTTTTCATAGGAGATGAATATGTTGGTCGCTGTGTATAATATCGTTTTTCAAACAGCTCTTATTTCTTTTCTAATATTCCCTTCGCAAAGCACAATACATCAAGAAATTACGGTCGATTTGTCGAGAGGGGTTCATCGAGTSAGYGAGAAGTTCCTGTCCGTCGCCTTCGGTAGTGGACTCTTACAAGAACATTGGTCGCACTTTGATTTCTCGTCTGCTCGAGTATTTACACTTGCACGAGGTCTTGCACCAGCTTACGTTAGGTACAGTGTTTCCACCCATCTATTGTACACGTATTTTTTTATTGTTTTAATAGCTAATCATTTTGAGAAATCTGCGCAGGGTCAATCTATTAACAGTCAGTCTGTATGGTATTYAGTAACCGTTGAGTGCTGAAGATAGTGACGTCAAAGAAGCTTCATCTTGAGGACAAAACAAAAGATTTTGCCCTCTTGGGAACTAGAATTAATCTATTGTTTTGTTCTCCAGTTTGAGCTCATGGCATTCCCAGATTCCCATAGACTGCAAGGGTTCTATATTCCATTATACCGAAATTGTGGGATTCGTATCAGTTTTGTAGGGAATTTCAATTACTGCTTCAGAGTGACTGACAGTTATATACGAATATACGTATCTTGTGGCAAGAAATGTTCTTCGGACGAACTATCATCTTGTTATACGACTTTTTCGTGGGATCAATTTCCAACAATGCATTGCGGTGTTGGAAGGATACACTATGCAGTATTACTGTACTCAACATGTCTTTGAAATAAGCTGTATACAATTGAGGCAAATTTCTGGAAATTAATGACAACTCAATAAAGTTTACCGCTAAATAGAACAAATCATCTTTCCATCAATTCCATCCATTTTTTTATTTTAACTTCTCATCTTTTATTTCATAATTTCTTGTCAATCAGGTTTGGTGGTACGGCAGAGTGCTGGTTGCATTACATTGCAAGAGGCAAGGAAAAACACAGYCCASTCCCCTCGCTGCTGCACAAGAACTTCACTGACTTTAATATCACCAGCGATGATTTAGATAAGATTCACCTGATTGCCAGTAAAGCTGGATGGAARGTACTGTTTGGTCTCAATATGTGTCTGAGAACTCGAGGTGGAGCCTGGAATTTCTCTAATCCCCTACAGATCATCCAGTATGTGGCCAGCAAAGGATACGACTTYGGCTGGGAGCTGGGAAATGGTGATGTACACAAAACTCTATGGCTATTCAGGCCCGTAGGCTGGGGGGTGGAAGGTTTCGGGGGAAGGGGGGGGGGTGGAAGGGTTTGGACAAGCTTAAAAGGTCCGGTGTTTTCCCTTTTTTATTGTTATGCTAAAAATTCTTTTGTCATAAACTGTTTGTGAGTATTTTGTTATGAACTGCTCATTCTAGCAGCCAGTTCTTACACGATTTACCTATGCATCGAGCTAATTTAGTTAAACATTTAATTTAGGTCCGCATTATGAAAAAACAAACCCTCCCATTTGTAAGGCAGCCTACGGGCCTGCGATTCAAACATTATTTTTACTTCACTTATATGAATTCTCGTTCGTTGATAAGAGTGTGCGAATAATAGGGCATAAACACTTCTAACACCGTCACGTGCGCACTCAAAGGAAAGGAAAAAAAAAAACGATTTTTGCAAACTTTTTAGACTAAAAAATGCGGTTCAGTATATTGCCTCTAAATTACTGACGAACTATTGACGTCATGTTTTAAACTTATCAGTGAACCACTCGCTGCTCTCGAAGGGCCACTTGAGTTTTGAATATTTTATGACGTCAATAGTGTGTCAATAAGATAACATACATCTTGTTGCAATTTTTAACGATATGACGTCACATCACGTTGAAAGTGCATATATCGGAATAGATTCACTAATAAAAATAATTAAGACTTAAAATAAAACTTTGCTTTCCTTTTTTAAGTATCCTCTTTTTTATYATTATTCAGTTTTATTTAGCTTTTCTTTGTCTAAATTGCCTATCATTGAATCTCTCACTTGTGACCATGACCGATAGAAATCTCAGTTTGATATGACGTCTCGAGAAGCAAGTCAGTTTATTGCTCGTTCAATCATTCCCATGAGATTCAAAAAACACCGGCGGCCATTCTGTTTGAAAAATGGACAATTGATATGTTGTTGAAGTATTTGATGATTTCAAGCGATGTTGAATGGTCGGCAATGAGGACTAATGGCGGGATTTCAAAGTGATCCGAGAAATTAATTGGGACTGAGAGGTACTGCCTGGGGGCACTTTGAAATCACGAATTAAATCAGTTCAAGGAGWTTTAAGAATCACAACCAACCACAATACACCGAGCGCTCGTGATAGATTATAGGTTGATATTACCTTTGAGATACTTAGTTAAAAGTATATCTCTGTCAAAACTGAAAGGATGGAAGACGATTCCGCTCACTTTAAGAAATCCTATACGAATCCGCCATTTTCGTGTCCACCTAATTATGGCGATTCGGCTCGCAAAGTACAGCGGTTGGTTGTGATTTTCAAAGTACTCTGTAACAAACTTCCTGGGAGCGTCAGAGTGGGCTACGTACTTACGTAAATAAATCAACTGAACAATTAATACGTTTTTGAATTGTTTTTGTAGAGCCGAACCATCTTGGGAAGTTTAAAAGGTTTGTCGAGCCAGAAATCCTCGGTAAAGACTTTGTTACGTTGCGAAAACTTCTAAATGATCACAAGAAATACGGCAACGTTCTGGTTGGACCTGATATCACCAGACCTAAGAACCAATCGATGGATTTCCTCAAGAGGTGCGATAAAAGAAATTTATTTCTACGGAGACTTTTCCACTTCATGATTGAACGATCTCAACTCATTCAATCATTTGATTAAATCAATCACAATATCAATCACCTACTCACTCACTCATACACACCCAACCAACCAACGAACCCACCTACTCACTCACTCATACACACCCACCCAACCAACCAACCCACTTACTCACTCACTCAACCCACTTACTCAACCAATCAACCAACAAAACCACACACTAACCAACAAAGCAATTCAATAAATCAACCAAGCAACCAGTCAATCAACACACCAACTCACTAACTAATTAACCCACGCATCACCTACCCACCCACCAACCAACGAACCAACGAACCAACCAACCAACCAACCAACCAACCAACCAACCAACAAACCAACAAACCAATAATACAATTAATTAGGCAACAAACTGAGTAACGGACAAAAGATACACTAATCTCGATATACTTTAACAGGTTTCTTTCTGTGGCTGTAGATGTTGTTGACGCGATAACGTGGCACCAGTAAGTATACGATATTGATTTACGCGCCATAGTAAAAGTATATCAAGTTACATGTCACTCGCATATATGTTATGTCGTAATCTCCAGTTTGTACTCCCAGCACTACGTCTCCCGTGAAGGGAGTGAACACCCCGTGTATATGATCGCAAAGGAGATATTAAATATAGGGTGTCTCATGTGCGCATGCGCATGTTAGATGGATCCGCTGGATTTACTGACAATGAAACGTATTGAAAATAAAATAAAGGAACAAGAAAGTGCAACAATTCTCGAAACTAGGACAGAACGAAATGAAACTGGAAATTGATAGAAGTATTTGAGATGGTAACGTAATTATTTTCTCTTAATTTCATTCCAGATACTATGTCAACAAAAAAACCTGTGAACTACAAGATTTCTACGATCCTGAAATCTTTGACTACTTGTTACGTCAGTTACAGTTGATCAACAGTGTGCTTTCAAAAGCTGCGCCGGACAAGCGACACTGGATGGGAGAAACTGCAACAGCTGTAGGGGGAGGTGCTCCTGGTTTATCGAACACATATGTGGCTACTCTGTCGTACGGTTGATTTATATTCATTCACTTTATAGACTGCATCATCTAGCAATATTCACACAGCACATAAAAAATCATTTACGCATTCAGTCCTATCATTGTAGAATTTGATCATTTTAGCAGACAATGGATCTTCCTATGTATGCATATTCCTCAAACCATTAGTGTCCAGAAGTTTCATCAATGCAAAAAAAAAATTGTTCTCAAAACGTACCAATTTAACCAATTAAAAAAAACTAGTGTGAGTTGTGTAAAAAGTTAAATTTAACACCGTGAAAAAGTAGGTGAAATAACTTACTGACGTTTCAGATGTTAATTCTTCGTCGGCGGAACGAAGGATTCCTCCGACGAAGGATAACGTCTGAAACGTCAGTAAGTTATTTCACACACTTATTTAAGGTGTTAAATTTATTTTTTTACATTATTGTTTAATGATGCAGGTCGGGCCTATTTGGGCAGTGAGTGGTACGTTCGTCCGGACCCCACCCTCCTCAGTCTCGAGCCCTGCTTTGTTTATGCTGCGTCATTCTTTCGTTTGTAATGGGTCTTCTGCCCTTATATTATGCATGATGTCACTCATTGATGTGTTTTCATAGGTGGCTGGATAAACTTGGTCTTGCAGCTCGATTGGGTGCTGAGGTCGTCATGAAACAAACGTTCTTCCATGGTAGTTATGCACTAGTAGACGACGATCTAAACCCTATGCCGGTATGTGCATGATATATCTTAACCCCATGTCTGTATGTCCATGATATATCTTAACCCCATGCCAGTATGTCCATGATATATCTATTCAATTTAGTTTGCAGTGCGTCTTTAATATTTGTTTGTTTTCTTTATATGTCGTTTTTAGAACTACTGGCTGTCACTTCTTCACAAACGTCTTGTTGGGCAGACAGTGTTGGATGTTAAGGATGGTTTACAAGAGGGAAGGGTAGTCAGAGTGTATGCTCACTGTACGGACACTAGGACTGGGTACGAKTCATTTAATGTGCGCCGTTTGTAGTGGGTGTTAGATTTGACTTGACACAACAACGTCCTACTGATTGGGCCATGTATACATAGGTCATTATGGYATAACTAAGCCTTTAGGGATACCTGTAACAAGTCATATATATCTAAAACCTTGATATAATTAAATAAGTCACAGGAACACGCGCATTATGGGGAAAAACAGCGATATTATTCATTTTGACGCCCAGGCGAAGCTGGTTTGTTGTTGCACTGCAAATTATGAAAGAAATGTCGATTTGTTGTCAGCAACAACCGTTAATTTAGTTAGAGATAGCTGGTCTGCTGAAAAAAACATTATGCAACCTTGTAGAGCCATTTTCAAAGACTAGAGCCGAGTAATAATAAAGGCTATATTGGTCTGTATTGAATTACGTCTTTCAGGAAGTATGAAAAAGGCGCTGTTACTGTCATGATTATCAACCTCAGTACATCCCATGAAGCAGTGCTGTCGTTGGCAGAGCCATTGGGAGGTCACTTAGTTGATCAATATCTACTGACACCTGGAGAATTGACGTCACATAATGGCAACTTAACGTCAACGTAAGCTGTCAATCATTGCACTGGAAAAAGTCGCGCACTTTAAATGATTTACATGAAATTTACACCATTTTGGACACTTACATCATATTATTTACATCAAAATTACAACTTTTTTAAGTGCGCGATTTTTAATTTCCAGTGATTGTAGTGATGTGTATCAAGCGATGATCATGTGATTACCAGACAAGAATTACAATGCTTACAATTCTTTTGCATAGATCTATAGCATATTCTTATTTATATATTTTATGATGATTGGTCCGGTTGGCGCGTGATCTTACATGTAGTTTTGCACGTACCTACAAGCAAGCATCAATATATTGTATCATCTCAGATACTGATCCCATCATAAGCAATGGGTTTCTTCAGAGCATCTCTCTTAAAAGTACSTGAACTAACAATTAATATGCTTCATTTTTAGATTTATCTTACTAAATGGCGCAGAACTGGASATGCCTGATGACGACACGTTACCAGACCTCCAGCCCGTTACCTTGGATACAGGATATCATTTACATATTCCTCCTTTAGCACTTGGTTTCTTTGTAGTACCGCAGGCTCAAGCAGAAGCCTGCACTGATGTCACTAGTTATTGACTTGGAAATGGAAAGACAAACAAACATTTGGATGCAGATTTTAAATCTGTTTAAGTAATAATAGATTTTAGCCCTCCTTTTCCTACCTTACACTTTGCGAATTAACTTTTCAACTCACCACCTCAACCCTCCCCCCTTAGAATCCCATTTCTATTGATGAATATTGGATAGTTTCTTATTTCATTGTTGCAATATTATTCCCAGAAAATCGACTGTTTTGCGACCTCGTTAACAAAAATGTTTTTGTAAACTTTAAACGAGACGGTGAATTGAAATTATATCGTGTTTCCACACTGTCGCAATTTGGACACAGGAATCCCAGGTTACTTATTCCTACCAAAGCCATACGCGATATGGCCAATGCGGTACGTTATGAATATTTCTGGGGATTTTACTGTTTTGAAGCTCGTTTTAGTCAGTCTATTTGTGCAGTTTTGTTGTTGTTTTGTTTTCAATTCGAGTATGAATGAGTAATGTGCACGGTGTTTGACTTTGGGTGCGGTACATTTGGCCAGCTAATTTCAACTATAAACCGATGTTGATTCAAAGATCAAAAGTGATGTTTGATTATTACGCGGATTATTCGCTTCGGTTCGACAAATATTATTAGATATAAGTTGTGGATTCCACTTAGTACGACGGTATGACTTTCATGCACAARACGAGCTTGAACATTAATTTTGCCTAATGAAGCTTCACCTTCATGTGCGCGCATGCGCTTTATGGTCGCTCGTCCACACCATGCCATGTTTGCTCGGGAAATGTTTATTTATTTATATAAACTCACGCCGGATACTATAATAAGTGATCAACCCCCCAAGTATTCTAGCGTCTTTGAAAGCAAACAGGGTCACCGTTATAGTGTCTGACGACCAGGTGTAGGCCTCGACCGTGACATCATCTTTATTTTAAGATCATAAACACACAACGAAACCAAAAACACATTTTTGAAAACCTTATAAATGTTTTATTTTCAGAGAATTTTTTTAAAATAAACTTAATTTTATATGTTTTCCTATATTTACATAAATATTTGTATATGTACAATTATCTTTTTGTAAAATTGTTAACTATGATATTAAATGTTTTCATAAATTTGCCATAAAACGTAGTCTTTTGTGTGGAGCTAAGATAGGCTGCTCGGAGTCATTTTGCAAGGGTTTTAGTACAAATTTGAAAAGGATTTTATAAAAGCTTTGATTATGTAAGGATTGATTTACACTATGCATCATTTGCCTCGACTTATTTTCGCACAATTTTGTGCGCCAAATACAAATACAACGCGAATTCGTAGTCTAGATCAAGCACCACAAGATGAGACTCCTATAAACAATCTCCTATATCAACAATTTGCGCGAACGATTTGAACGTGTAKAGTTTGAGTTAAGTTTGAGTTAAATTCTACGTTTTGATTGTTTCATTGGAAATTTGATATTAAATCTTCTAACTAATATACAAACTACACCCTTCGATTGCACAAAAGGTATAGTGTAGTCTTATTCGTTGCCAAATAATATTCTAGAAAACGATTAGAAATGATTTCAAAACACATCAATATGAACTTCACAGTAAACACGTCAATAAGCGGAAACAGGGAGTGGCCCTCTAAGGGKGTGCAGTCGTATACACAAGGGCCCTTCAAGCACTAGTAGAACCTAATCTAAGATATCGGTCATAAGCCCTGACAAATTCACCATAAATTGTTTAGGAAAAGTATATTCTTGTTAGCTTTCGTATTTTTACTGGGTAAATTATATATAGTATATATATTTTGAGGCTCGATTTTCTTTTCATTGATGTGTTAAGACACCTATAGAGTGGTTTTCAGTGACTAATAGCTAGTAGTTTTAATTCTAACAGAAGAAAGCAATGTCTTCTGTACGGGATTAGGGTTTACTCTATAGAATGTATATAAGGTTAGTAACTATTTATTTCCCTGTACGATGAAAACCACGCTAATTGTGACATAAACACAAAGCTAACACTGTACCTTTCTTGCAAAAAATACCCCAAATATTTATGGTAAATTTTCTGTGGTTTTTACATGAAAAGGTTGTACCATATTGACCTGTAATATTTCTAAATTGGTGTAGTGACAAGACCAGGGGAACCACAGCTACTAGGAACTAATTCTGTACCACAGGGTAGGGAAGAGAAATTAAAAAAACCATAACTACTGCATGAACTTGACTTCGGCTCATCTGTTCTTCTTGTAGACTGTGATAATGCTTCCCAGTTGAGTAACTGTCCCATGAAATTGAAATTTGGTGAGATGATGGATCGTCTTTTCTTGACGAATTCATAGGCTTCGTCGAGTCGAAATCGTAATCTGCAAATCAAATACGCAAGGCAAATGGTCGCTGAACGAGAAATGCCCGCTTGGCAGTGGACTAGAACGTGACCTCCTGAATTCTGTACATTATCTGAAAGAATCAAATAAATATTTGTTTAGAATAGAACAATTAGAGTTTATAAAAGAGACTTAAAGCGAAACTTGTGCTCTTTGATCGGGTTCAGTGGTCGAAATATAAAGTTCTAAAGGCGTTATGTTTCCTATTGTAGTATGTTTGCATTCGATATAGTGAGGTTCGTGCGATTGGGATAGCGAGGTGTTATTACTACACGTGGAGAGCGGTTTGTCTAGAGTCAGTCATCGCTAAAAATAGTATCAAGCTTCGCGCCAATCACATGGAATATGAATTACCTATGAATTGGACAGCATCTTCGAACCAACATTCAATATCTGCATTATACGTATCTTCAACGGGGATATTTTTGTAGATAAAGTCATCTTCGAATAAGTTTGGGATATTACTTGAAACGTTGATAATCGCCGTTATTCCAAGCCGTTGTAAAATGTCTTTTCTTGAAGCATGGACTTCGTTCCCCAAATACAAATAAGGTAGAATATCCACTGGGTTGCCATCGTCTTTTGGCGGTTGTTTTTCAGTTTTAGAGTCTTTGTCAAATCGAGGACTACATATTTTCTTGCCGTCGGCGCTTCTCAGTTTTAAAGCAAGAGGGCTTGTTGGTGAGGTTTTCATGAATTCACACATGGATGGATGTAGAGAAGAGAAGCGCGTAAAACCACCTGAAAAAAGAGTACAGAAAATRCATGAATTAAAATGTACATAATACTCCAAGAATGAAATACAAAAATGAAAGGACACAAATAACTCTTGATGTTAAAGAAACAGCCACAGTGAGTCTACAGAGAAAGAAATACAGGAAACATGCGCAATCTAAAAACGTGCTCTTGTTTTGAAATAACACGTCGAGCAAAATATTACTCTAGTTTTATATAAATAAACACCTTTTGAAGATAGGAAATCCTTGGGATGTGTTTTTGAGGACTGTGTTTTTGAACGGTTTTTGAGTCAAGCACCATCGACTAACTAAAGGAAGACAACTTCGACGCTAGTGATGTCACTTATAAGGCTTTTGATTAACATATTCGAAACAATAGACTGCAGAGCGATCAAATCGTGTCAGACCATCTGCTTCACAGCTGACCACAACAGTTAAACAACAATTAATTCTTACCATCAAAACAAATACTAAATACCAAACTCACACTTCAAATGTGACGTTTGGAGGACGGAATTCTTTCGAACAATCTTCAAAAGTTTAACTGGAGGTGTTTTTTGATAAAATACGGGTGATCGTAGTCTGAGTTTTGGCGGAAACGCTAATTTATGTAGCACCCCTTGGTTTTGCTTTTAGGGGTGTAGTTCTCCTGACTTTGAGCCATAACACGAAGACGTAAGCAACTTAAATGAGATCTAAAAAGATAAAAAAACATCACTTGAGGTGCCCTTCTTCGCCTGGGCGAAAAATCCACGTATTGAGATTTGTTATCTATTTTWTTCTCCTTTTCAAGGCAAACCACTGTATCATATTGATGTTATAGAATTCACATTTGACATCCTTACTTTCAAAAAGAAAATATATTTAAACGAATATAAAATGGCTTTCAGTTTTAGTTTGCTTGCGCGAAAAAGGCTACGGTAGAAATTGAAATGGACTAGAGTAGCCAATGACATCACGCCATGTCGAATCCAAACTTTATTCAAAATGTTGAAAAAAAAATTACATTGAAATTTAAAAGCTTAACGCACTTTTTTTACAGTTTGAACACAAACTAGTCGTATTTTTTAAAGAAATGTTTTCCATTTTTGTTATTTAGTAAAGACATGTAGTGATGAAGAGATGATGCAACAATTTTTAAAACATGAAAAAAATATCTAAAATATTTCTAAAATACGATTTATAAAAACGATATAAAAACAAGTAAAAGTGTCTGTTACACGTGCGATTTGGTCAAAATTCATTTGTTTACGAGCGTGGGCGCGCAAATCAGGTACTACACTATCTAATTGCAACAAACACAAATGGCGCCAAGTCATTCGTCAACAAAGAGCCGGTTCTCCCGCCATGGACAGAACAAAAGAAACCCATTCATTCATGGCGATGTTATTATCGATATTATACTAAAAAGTATTTTAACTAGCCTATAAAACAATCAAAACGACAAGAACAAGAAGGAAAAATCTATTAGGGATGAATTTTAACTGATATTAGTGAAGAAAGATTTGATGTCTCAATCACAATACAATTCACACGTGGCTTGTGATACAAAGAGAGAAACGCTTGAGTTACGTTATCGATCTGATCGTAGTAACAAACAAAATACTTCTTACCTTTGAGCAAAAAATGCTTGCAAGTTTTGTTTTCTCTTTGAAGTAGAGAGGCAACTATTTGGACTGTCATGTCTTGATCATCGTAAGTCCCATCGTCGTAATAAATCAAAGTTTCTGCTCTTTCTAACGTGATTCTTGACTGTGGACATGTGAGTAGAGTAGATAGTGTCGCACTGCCCCTTTGAAAACGTCTTCTAAGTATCGGCGGACAATGAACATTCACAGAGTCTCGAATATGTGCCACGTTATAGGCGAGGAATGAACGACAGTCCACAAAAATGCATGTTGTAGGATGTATCAGCGCCATGTTCATTGCTGTTATGGGTAAGATTGGAATCATATACGAATCCATCGCGACCATATTTATAATACCTTGACTTTTCTTGAATTATCTTGATTTCTGTGATCTAGAGTATGTTAAAGCAGAAAGTTTGTAATGAATCAGAGTTCCATCTATTGCGAAATGTGGGTCTTTTAGCTCTGGGCTTGTTTACAACTGATCTCTTATATGGCCTGATCACTAGCTCATGAATAATAATCTATTTTTAGATCGACTCTAATTACGTCATCATCAGTGAGTCAAGCCGGGGCGTGCGATTTTTCACATGATTTCCATAGTTACATCACAACCCAAATAAGGGGTTGCAATGAAAATCAACCAATCAAAATGAACTCTTGATAATAGCTAACGTAGTTAAGAATGTTCTTGGCAAAATCTTTAAATTGTTCTCAGGTTAAGAATAACTCTTGTCCAGTCGAATGTGAAATTTCTATATTTTGTATTTTATGCTCGTTTATCATATTAAATATAGATATAATAAAACAGAGATAATTTATAAAATTTGTAAAAAACTGCTGCAAGTTGTTATAATGTCGTATTTTCTGATTTCTTCTTGTTTCTCTTATTGTTATTTTCTTATATATAAAATGCTAAAATTAACGTCATATATTTTGATCAAATTCTGAAGTTTTTAGAATTTTTGAGTAAGTCTCGTGACGCAGACTGTTGCTAAAACGGACTTGAGTCACTTATCAATTTGCAGGGTGTCGTGACGTAGGTCATGCCCTTACAGGATTATAATGTTTACATGTCATCGCTCAAGCCCATTTTCCGTATYAGCGTTTTTTGTGCGTTGGCTTTTTTTTTAAATTCTTATTTACCGATCCTAGAATCCTCCTACTCCAGCATTTAACCAAAATAGACCTTGGAATATTTTCTTGATATTTTTCTTATCATACATCTTGAAAAATAGATTACTGACATTAAATTTGACAGACAAAATCAATCTATGACAAAATAATGGATAGTAAAAATGAGCACTTACTAGTTTCGSTATTATCCATCAACAGTCGCAAAAAAAATGAGCCATGAATACACATGTTATAAATCCATATGTCTGATATTTTTATAATCCTTGTGCCTATAGAGGGAACACCAATGGACGCAAATCTAGCATGAATAATTCATGAAGTAACCGTTTTTATCTCACTGCGAATATTTTCTAATTTTTGACAATAAAGGAGTTCCTAATTATAATTTAGTTTATATTATAATATAACACAATATTAGTCTCTATTCTTTTTGAAGGTCAAATAAAAGCTCAGTGGCCAATCATATCTCTAGATTTGTAATAGTCCATAGTTTGCTAAATAATGCACTAAAATCAATTTGGCATTTGCCTGCGAAAGAACAGCTATTATTTTACTTATTTACTTTATTTTATTGTGATTCGTCTCATGATACATTCACGACGGAAACAGAGCAAGCCAAAATTGACAACCATTGCTTTGCCGAACATTTGAATATACACCTAATTGAAAAAATGTAGTCGTGTTCGAAAAGGTCGACACATCATAGAAGCTAAGACCGAAAGGGATAATTATATTTGCATATACGGTGTACACTAAGCACTGAAGTAGAGCTAGTAAGATTAACAGCATGATAGTCTTTTATGCTGGAGAACTGTTAGTCATGAAATTAGCCAAATTGTTTGTCTTCCCAAGTACCCTTTCGGTCTTAGCTTCTATGATTTGACCTTTTGGACCCGACAACGTTTCTTCAATTAGGTGTATAGAAATATACACAGATAACAAGAAGCAAAATATGTAGAACACAAAAATATACGAGTTCAAAGAAGGTTGGAGTATTCATATAGCTTCTTGGTTACAATCGGAAAAAAATATGACATTTTCACCTATTTTTTCATGTTATGTAAATGTATTAGTTTTTAGTTCAAAATCAAAAATCTCACGGCCTATCAAGAATTCAACCACAGCGTGACTGACTACTTAACAATCGAAAAGTGTATATTAAAACTATGTAGTTTGAGAAGCACAGTCAGTTGAGCTTCATGTTTTTTGATACAAACTCAAAAAGACGTTAATTCTATGAGAAATGTAAAATGAATATATCTGAATCGGTCTTACCTGAAAACTGCTGTCCTCTCTAACTCACTCTGAGATTCTTATGAATTCGGAATGGTCAGTAATTCGGTATAATATACCTTTAACCGTACAGGATGCCTTGAGTGTTGTGTTTGGGTCAGTCGCTGTATTTATATTTACTGATCGATAGTCATTACAGTACATTGTAATCAAGGGCGGACTTGGTTTCCGACCCAACCCTTGTACATCACCCAAGATCCCCAATGTAGATAACAGGTCATTATTTTGAAGATTATTCCTGTGTTGACAGGATTATAAAACACAAAGGTATTTTGATATCCATTTGTAAGCCGCGAAGGAGATCAGATGTTTTGTTACATTGACATCTTCAATCTCAGCATTTTTGCGCAGTTTTATACTCCAACTTACGGAAGCCCACAAGGACTGCACAACGTGTCGTTTACACATTGAGACATCGCAAACTTAATGGCTTGAAAACTTAACTAAATGGAAAACTTAATGTCTGCATTGCAAACTTAATCTTTAGGTGGCAAGCAATAGTTTTGGGCTGGCAAACAAAAAAAAACTTAACGGCAAACTTGWTTTAACTTTTATTTTACGGATGACAAGTTGTGTTCTATACTTTATGCTGAGTGACGGCGAACTAATTTGTCAACGGCAAACTCTTTTCTTTTTATTGATGTTTATTGGAAGAAAAATCCGTAGTACTACTTAAAGGAGATTGAACGCAATACGTGAGCCGCCTCTCAATTTTTTTTTCGTCAACGGCAAACTTATTCTAATAGACGTTAGACGTCAACAGCAAAAACTACAAATTTTCTAGAGGGCAAATTGAAACYTGTGACGGCAAACTAGAGAGCAAACTTAACTTTGTGAACTTAACATGTGAGGGTAAACTTAACTTTTTGAGGGCAAACTAATTTCATTGACGGCATGCAAACTTCAAGTATTTTGAGTGCAAATTAATTATTGTTTATTGTTAATCGTTAATTAAATTTGAAATAAGAGACGTACTCAGTAATTTTCTTATAAGGATACAAATGGTGCCTTATTTTCCTGAATAATTMAATGATTTCGCATTCATTTCGACGTCTTTCTCACTATGGGGCTAGTGTTGGAGAGTTCTTGTGACGTCACAATTAGTAATTATATTCAATCCTTTTGACTGACATAAGGGCTTTTCTTGTCCTGTTAAAGCACACTCTAAAACACCAACATTTATCTTAAAATTAAGTTATTAAATCATCTTGTTTTTCACTGGTATCTGGAAAGAATTTCTTGTTTTTTTCCAGTATTTCCTTCCTACAATGACATGTTGTTGACAGTTGAAGGTGTATTTTGTCTCTGCCAGATGGGCACGCCCTGYTATTAATATCAACAGCCACCCTGGACATCGATGAGAACTGATTTCATTCTTCACATTTTAAAACTTCAGAACTGAGTTTGGATCAGGGCAAAAAATAAAAACAAAATAAAACWAAACTAAAACAACAACAGCACAGCAACAGCGGACTCAACAATTAACAAAAAACCAATAAAAATTTATTGAACCTTCGTAGTTTTTAATTTCAATATTTCAAATTCCTTGTTGTTGTTGTTTTCACGCAAAATGTCTTAAAGCTTTACATTTTTTTCTAAGACATTTTTCTTAGTTTATTCGAGTAAGTAAAATAAGTTTCTTCATWTATGAATACATCGTATACTGTTTATATATCACTAAATTAATCGGCACAATCCTTCACCCATATAGACTAATAGCGGAAGAATAACTCGAATATTTTATCCAAGTAGGGAGGGGACGCTTGGGTGTGGCTTTAAAATGGTCCGGATCAATATGTCACTGAGCGTTTATAAAGGTTTTCATTTGATAAGTTACATTTTTAATTAAAAAACGCTCATTTTTAGCTGGAGAAAGGCCTGAATTAATTGAATTCTTCCACTATAAGRTCCTTTGAATAGTCGGTCAGCTGTTTTCTTCAATTGACTGCCTTGTCATGTTAGTTATCGTTTTAGAATTATCATTTCGACAACATTTATCAGATTCGAATCGAAATACGATACTACAATTTCTCTTAAGTTTCAAGGCGGCCGAAAGGGTAATAGATTTTCTCTTTGATGTAATTACTGAATTCCATTTTGCTTCCGAATGAGATTCCGTGACATACACACCACTCCTTGGTACTGAGTAAGGGTTGGGCATAAAAGACGTTTTTTATCAATCATTGACCTGTTGTGTTCAGGTTTTTACTAAGATGTTGTCTTTAGATTTGAAAACTATCTAAATTACATGGGCGCGTGAGCGAAGGTTATGCAGGTCCGATTCTACTTGCAGAAAAAAAGCCTAAGATRGACTGCTAGGGTGGGGCTAGCCTTCGAGTGTGAAAGCTGCTTTCATAGGAGGCTGTTCTATACACGATTGAGACTATTTTAGTGAGGACATTATAGTTTCATATAGTCAAGATACAATTTAACTTGATAAGTTGACTGAAGTGGCCGGGTACTAAAAACTTTACTAATGCATGCTAGCCTCACTAATTACCAATTTTCTCAACTAAATTCATGTATGGAATAACTTACAGTCTAGCTACTTGTTGTCAATATATAATTCTCGATTCTGTAGCTGATTTTGTAGCTTTCTAGCAAGTTACTACATGTAATTCGGGCGATATTTTCATCAATGTTTTGTTTGAGACCGACGACCCTGCCCACGCTGCCATGCGCTGTGTTTCGCAGCTTCTTTGTATATCCTAGCATGTTCAAATTGTTGTAAATCTTTTGCTCTTCATAATTTGAAGGCTCCAAACTATTCTGCTGATCGAAATACAATTTTTCTAGTTTACGTCGTTACGATGAGCTTTAGGGCGTTGTTCCGGTGGCGTCCCGCTGATCACCCATATGGGGGATTATCTTGCTATGCGAAGCGTCTCTACCAAATCAAAGACAACTGAGTCACAAATGATTAATGGTTTACATTTTCACTGTACAATTGACAAATGCTACAATCCTGGTTGAGAAAATTGACACGCGCGTCCATTTCTCAGGCATATATCTCTATATCTTGTGAAATATTTAAGAAAACTGAACCCCCCTCCCCCCAATTCAATGTTGGGCTATGGATTTATGTTCGTAGAGGTTCCTGACACAACATTGGATGATGGGGGGGAGGGGAAGACAAAATATTATCATTGCAGGACGAGCATAGGATAATTGTGTCTTGTCATTAGAAAATTCTCAACTCTTTTTGTCCAGGATTGTAGCTARATATTCTTAGAATCTAACTGGCAAACAGCTCAGAATTTAACGGCGAGAGTCGTTTAGGTTCGAAAATCGGATGTGACTCTATTTATTAAAGTGTTCACTGACAAATGACCAAATTTCAGAAACTTAAAACTTGGACGCCCCTCCAGATCTTTTTTACTGGAAGCAATAAATCTTGGATGTGATAGTAAGGTAGGTGTTGTCTGCGGGGTTAGAATTACCAAAAACAGGAAACTGTTTGATACATTTGTTTACCCGATCACACGGCCAAACTCATTTTCCTTTATCTCCAATCGACGACTATTTTGGTCCCTGAGCTTTGACGCAATCTCTCCACAACCCATCATGATTCCTATATAGACAATGATCGATGTTGGTTCAAAATTTATACTTTTTAAAAAACACTGCAGTGATCGCTGAGGTAAGAAAAAACAACAGACAAACAAACAAAAAAAAAAAAAAACACGAAAATATGATCCCTGGCTGCAACGAAAACTCTGCTGATCCTTGCTGTTTACATACCATAAATTATCTAACGCCTAAATTTGATTGCTGTTATTCCTGCAATTTCAGAAAACATAAAATACTGAATGATCGATATTCCAAGACCCGCACTCGAAACCCATTTATAAAATTTTCGATATATAACGTGCGCTTTGATTGTCTGACGACCGTGTTGATCAGAGGACAGAGACACGGCTTACCGGCAAAATTTGCTTTTCGCTCTGATATAAACACGGTGGGAGTTGAAAAACACTCGAGAAGCAAGAGAAACACTCGCTACGTCGTGTTCCTAAGCTTGCTTCTCTTGTGKTTTTTGAACTCCCACCGTGTTTATATCAGAGGACAGAGAYACGAGTGTCGTTTTATATTTCTTAAATAAAAAACTCTCTACCGCACTACACACTTTTATGGTGATTTTTGTACCCCTATAATTCATTTAAATTTGCTCGATTTTAATTTCATGTGCTAATATGAAATAATAGCTATCTCCAATTCAAAACAATCCCTCGACACTCCTTGCAACCGTTTCTACCATCAAAGAATGTGACGTTAAGGTTGTCATGGTTCTAAGCACGTGATAAGAGGCATTTCCCGCGCTTTTTGTTGACTGTTCACGCGACTACGAGTTCATTTACGAGAACAAGTATAGTAGTATTACAAACGTACGAGGTTTTTTGAATATCACTAAAGTTTTCATGGACTGTTGAATAACATGTTTTGCCTTGCAAGGCAGATGTAGCGGACTGTCAATGCAGTAACTCCTGGGTAATATTCAGAAATCGCTCTCATCGTCGACCTGGTATCACTAACAACGAGGGCTGAAGCATAAATTATTGAAGCAGTCATATAATCAGTCCACACGTTCGCCTATTGACGAATTCCCAGCTTTACATTTTGAAAATGATCTGCAAAATACTCGGTTGTTTATTAAAAATCTTCACTTTTTACGCCTATTTATCAAACAAACAAACCCAGAACGTATGATTTTGTTTTGCCCTTTTTGGAATAGACAGCTGAGCATGGTTAATTCAGTAGTCTTTTATTGCTAGCTATATATTATGCCTTTTATCTCGAATGAGTGAATATATCATAACCCAGTAGGTTGTTTGTTTTCTTGTCGCTCTTCTTTTTATTAAGTAGTTTTTTAACATTCACTAATCAATATGCATTTTTTGACTGACACACGTGGCCGTCCGCAAGTCGTACCTGCCATTCAACTTTTTTCTTTGTTGAACCAGTCAGTAAAAACACTGTAAAAACAATAAGAAAAGCAGCGGAAAAGTAAACGTTTTCTTTGATAGTGAATAAAAAGAACAGCAGGCCGGTACCAGCTCTCCTTGTAACATCGTTAGTTCCTCGTTGCCTTTTAAACAAAACAGCCAGTGTGAAGCCTCGCTTGCAGTTACGTATACACGCGATTCAACCGACAGAATGAAACAATGGCACGTGAAGGATATTTCAAAAACTCATTAATTATTCATGAGGTATTCAGCCAATCCCTGATTGTAATTTGTACCACGTGAAGTAACTTGAAACCAGAGGAAGTACTCGTACCTTGTATTCTACCTTATTTCCAGTTACTTCTACCTTTTTCAAGTTACTTCTACATTATTTCCAG